CTCAAGTTCAGCCCAAAATTGAGTATTTGTGCAGCAAAAAACAAGCCCAGGTTTCATGTTAAAGAGGTACATTTAATTCTTTATTTTTAGTTAAGAAAACTGTTAATGCATATAGACAGGCCTACACATGAAATAAATATTATAATTTTGTAACTTCTGGCCTATATTTGAGTCTGAATGTGCAGGGGTTTATGAGGCCTGAAAAATATTTCAAGGGTTCCTCCAGGGTGAAAAGGTTGAGAAAGGCTGTTGAAGAGATTCTCCAAGAAGAGATTAGTTCTGCAGCAGGCTTTTACAATCTTGCAGATGAGACCACCTACATCTCTGGATGGGAGATGTCACTTGGCATATGTTTTGTGGACTTAACAGATACGTTATATGGGGGGAGTCCCTTGGTTTTGTGATGCTGAAATATTTGGATGTAATCCCCACTGCCAAGACTAGTGTTGTTGAATGCACAAAATGCAAACTAAATCTGGAAAAGTTCCTCAAAGATGTGATGATTGTTCCACATTGGGAGTAAGAGGGGTTGCAGGCTACAAGAAAGAGTCAGTACCAAAGCTGTTTTTGTTCATTGCGTGAACAAACAGGCACACAGATTCAACTTGGCTTTCTATGACTTGAATGCTGTTACTGAGATAAGGAACACAGTTGGGTGGCTAATAAATTTAAATAAACAAACATCAGGGTATTTACCAAAAAAAAAACCCAAACCCTTTGAGAAAATTTTCCAGAAGTTATTCATTGTGGCTGACACCTCCACCCAGCCAAAACTTGATGCTCTTCAATCAAGAGCATAAAGCTCTTTGGTGTGGCTTACTGTGCTGCTATTGATATGCTTGACATGACCAGTAGAAGGCAAGGTAAATAACTTATTTTGTAATATACAAATTCTGCTTTCTAGTGGGATATGAAACAGGGGTCTGCAAAGCACTCCTCTAACCACCAACTTCACTCATGGTTTCACTGCTCCTTGATCACAGGCCCTGCTTAATAACGTTGACTGCTGTCCTGTATTGTGTTGATGTGCAGCCAGCAAAATGGAACTGGGAGAAGATGCCCCTCTACAGCAGCCTGAGAGTGGATGCTAGCACCAAGCTCCTAGAGAGGTACATTTGTCCATGAAACAATACCTGAATGGAAGCCTGTCATTGTTGCTTGCCCATTGCCTCTGCCTTCACCAAAGACAGGTCTTGGAGGAAGCCCTAGTGCAGGGCTAAAGGTTTATTACCAGGCATGCAACACTTTCCAATCAGTATCAGTATCTACTGGTCACTGAACTTACAATTGTGTGAGTACTGGTTCCACTCAAGAAAAGAAATGACTTCTTCAAGTGACAGTCAACTATATGCATGCATTCTAACGCAGCGTCTTCTGTTCCTGTGACCCTAGGTGCTGTGGTGCTCATGTGTGACCTAAGCACAGTGAATAGTAAAGTGAGTAAGACAGCACAGACATGAAGAGAAACTCTTCCAGGATAATATAAGACTGACAAAGATAGGAGGAGGTATCCTGCCCTGCAGGAAGGTAAAGATATAAGCAGATTCTGCCCAAGGAATGTCTTGGTTTGGGGGGAAGAGACACCGCTAAGAGGCAGGGTGGCTGTAGCAAGTAACACACCATGGCACTGCTGCATGTCTGCAAACCAATAATGCAGTTCTATGCCCTTTGTTTGCTCCATCTTAATACTAGGTGCAATGAAGCACATCCACCAACACCAACACAGCTTGGCATGGGCTGTTGTCCTGCAGTGAGTTCACAAAGCCTACTACCACCTCTCTATGCAGTGCATACCCTCTGCATGAGGCAGAGGCTACTAGGAGGCTACAGGAACAAGGCTAGGATGGTCAGCTATCTGGAATAGATCCTGGATGCCTGACACTGTTCACAAAGAAGAGCTGTGATGCTGGGGGAGCAAGCAAGACGCACAGAGGAGGACTTTGTCCTGACTGTGATGGTGCCTCAAGGTCTAGGGGCTCAGTTGACACCCAGTTTGCCCTGCCCAGGCACAGGGCTGCATTGGCCCACAGGCTATAACTTTCAGTTATCAGATCTGGAATCTTTGGATCATCCAGATTGCAGGAGCCAGAATTAGATTTGCCACTTAGAAATAACTCCAGTATTCTATTAACTCCAGATTTAAACTACTTAGCTTAATTCAAAATGCTGTTTTTAATTTTTAGAGAGGAAATTGGGAACATTAAATTAACAGGCCTAATGCAATCTACCAGACAATCCCGGCTGATGTGGTCAATAGACCTCTCTTCCTCACCAAAGTCCTTACAATCCTAGCCATTACACCTTGTTCTTCTCATTTATTCATACACACATACATACATACATACATACATACATATGTATGTACAGCCTATATCACCCACTCCAAAGCTAGGTAATTTACAACAGAGAACCAAGTAATCCCAACACATAACCCAAAAATGATAAAAATGGATTACCCATTCAAGCAATTTAATGTGGATGTTAAATTGGGGTGGGGGGAGGAAACAAAGCCGAGTCCTGTGTCATACCACACTGGAATAACCATTGCTCCTCTCCTACAATCCTCCCCCATAATCATGAGCTTAAATGCCTACTTGGAATGAGTGCAACCACCATTAAATGGTGCTTCAAACCTCTAACCCTCACAGGTAATCAAGAAGTTTGGCCTGGTTGATGGTATAGGATACCACCAAGGAGTCTAGCAGGGCCTGGAAAGACACATTCCCTCCATCTATGTCCGAAAAAAGATTATCAGCACAACAACCAATGCTGACTCAGTTTCATGCTCAGGTCTGAATCATGACTGAGAGAACATCTGCATCCTCTGCTGTTCTCTATAGGTGAAGCCCCACTGCCTTCTCCAAAAATTTTCCCCAAAATGGGAGACTGAAGGTCTTGTTTAATACAGCAGAGTCGGTAGATGTTGTGATTGTAAAAACTACCAGTTGGCAACAGACAAGTGATACTCATCATTTAACATAGAGAATGATCCAAAGTAGAACTTCCAACACTCTTCCCCATCTTCCATATAACAGGTTTTCAATCAATGTTAAGGTTTGGATTACCCCATAGCATTGATTCCAAGTGAGAAAAAGGATCAAAATGCAATTTTCCAGCAACAGTTTGCTACAATATTCAAACTGATGTAATAGTGATGGGAGTTATATCAAATCTGTTAAAATCCAAAATAGTCTAACCAAAGGTGTCATGTGTAAATAGTCCAAAATGGCACAGGAGGAAAGTATATACTGAGTGAAGCTGTCCAAAATTTCCCATAGTGAAAAGATACTCATAATAATGTAATTCAAGCAAATTCTGACTTTAACTGACAACTGCATCTTTTTCAGTTTTCTTCAAAATTGAAAAATCACATAAAATTGTTGAACAAAATGCCAAGCTTTTTCAAAATGTTTCCATAATATATATATTATGGATTTTATATATATAATATATATATGAATTTCATATATAATATATATATACTGTATATATATATGAATTCCACACAAAATACAAAGTATCATGAGAATTACATTCATTTTGAGAGCGTTTACCCTGCCTCAAAAATGTAAGACTTAAAAACTCCCTTCTATCAATATCCAAGGAAACCTCTTTTTTTATATATATATGTATGTATGTATGTATGTATGTCATATTGAAGGTAATTATTTGAGAAATGTCACATGGACTAAAGAATGCCTAAATAGTTAATTAATTTGGTACTTATGAAAATGATAATTACTTGTTGATAAATAAATGGTTTCCTATTGGTATCAATTCCAACTTCAGCCAATTAACAGAGTATCCCACAATTTGCCCAAATATATTAGAGCCAATGCCAAAATACATCAGATGCCCAAGTGCATTACAGCCAGAACTGAAATATGAAGTGCAGAAATAAACGATGAATATCAGTATATACCACTAATTTAAATACCAATGAACTGTGCAAAAAACTCTGGATACTGTATTATTTCACTTTGACCACTTAATTGTTTCTCGTTAACCAGAAACCCAGTATCTGGATTTATTACTGGGGTTGTGTATAATATTTTTCCAACGTCACATCTAGAATGATCTGAGAAATACTGCTTTTGTTTTCTGTTCTGCCTTTGCTAAGAAGAGAGATTATTCTTCAGCCTATTCCTCAGTTCCTTGGTCTTTGCTGTGGTCAGTTCGCCATACCTCCCCCAGAAATCTCAATTATTTAATATCGTAACTGAAATCCATAGCTACATTTTTATGACACTGCAAAATTTTAAAAAACGGTATCAGAAGTATTAAAATATTTTGAAGCCAAGCCTACATTTAACCTTTGGACGATGTACCAGGAATCACACTTCAAAAAGTAGATTGGTTATGAAAAACTGGCCTAGGGCCTCAGATTGGAACATACAAAACAAGAGTTCGCTATTATTAATCATGAATTTTCCAGCTGTTAACCAATCCACTGTGAAATATATTCATTGCAAAATAAAAGGTACTTTTGGGGTAACTGAAATGAATCCATTCTAAATATACTGAATAAATTCCATGATTGGATTGTACGTTTTATTATGTAGACAGTAGGTGGCAGACTTTGCTTTTTATTTGTAACATATTATTCTTCCCACTTTTTTGAAAATATAATGCTCTTGGCAGTAGGAAATCTGGCTGTGCAACTAATTTGTTTTTGAGACAGAAAGCTCTGATGAGGATCAGAGAGGAAAGACATAGACAAATGTCAAGTTGATTTTTTTATACATATAAATGCATCCATCCACACTGCAACATTATTTAAAACTAGCCTTATGAATATCATTCAGCTTGAAGCCGGAAATAAAGTTAGTTGGTCCTATGGCAGAATGCTCACTCCAAAGATGATATCCGTTTAGGAAGGACCAAAGCATCTATCTCTTGCAACAGTTTGTCAGAAAACAGGTTATAGAAGTGATTGTGTTGAGAATCAATTTAAAATTCATTCATCTCCTTCCTCTGTGATAAAGGAATGGTGTTGTAGGGAAAGCCTGTGACTCTGCTCCTAGTAACTGAAAGAGACCTGGCTTGTACTTAATCTACTGCCTAACTCTGTGTGTGTGCGCGCGCGTGCATGTGTGATTCCCTGGAGGCAGGGAGGAAGGAGCAAGATGTTACTACTAACTAGTAGTTGAAGGAGGAAGGCCTGTGTCCATCTGCTGTCTGGCCAAGCCCTTCTCTACCGTATAATCCTGGGGTTTTACTGGAGACTTTGCTCCTAGGAAATGCCAACTCCTGCCTCCCCTCCCTGCTCTCTAGGCCTTGCTTGTTGGAGGAAGTGAGGGCCACATGGCAGAATATTGTTTAGTGCTTATTTACTAGAGTGTACTAATAAAGAGTGTGCGGTTAAGTTTCAAGAGGATATGGGTTGTGCAGCGGGTGTCTGACAGTAGATGGAAAGTTGTTGTACTTTGACAAGGGGAAGAAGACTGGTTTTGAGATACCCAGAAACCATTTAATGACCTTGTTATGAGACCACCTGCAACCCTAGTGTAATCTGAAGCTAATTATCATAGCAAAATGTACGCCCCTACAGTAGAAATCTTAGAAAACATAGAGCATGTTAAGCTTATTATGGGATGTTAGTAGGTAACATGGAATCAAGTGCATCTACACAACAAAGTAACCAATCATGATTTTCCATACCTACTTTCCTGTTTTTGAAAAGTATAAAGATTGATGTAAAACTTTACTCAGGGTTCCTCTCCTTGGAGAAACAGGACCCTTTTTGCTGAAGCGTTTCAGTAAAAAGAATAAAAGGATTCCCCAACTCAGTGTGTTGATGGGATCTTGCATGCTGGGTAGACAAACCTGCACTCTTTTGTGGCCAACAGAAGCTTCTAACTGACGTGGCTCTTTTTAGTACAGTTGTGTCATTTGGTGTAGGTATAGTTACTCAGCAGTTCTGACAAACTAGCCTTGCTGCATCACCCTCTGCATATCGCCAGAAAGCAACTTTAGTTTATTTTGCTCCAGGTTCTGGCCCATTCTCCTTGTCTGTTTTTCTTGTTTTTCTTTTTAATAGAAAAAGAAGGGATCTATCTGGGTGGGTGATTTGGTTGATCTTGAAGGAGAATACTATTTTTCAATAAGATCAAGGCAATTGGTGCAAAAGGACTTGCCACGGTGAATTTCTAATACTAGATATCCATCTGAATTCAATAAGTATGTATAATTCAGACGTAATTACAAGAAACACTGAGATGACTCTGGAATCATGAGTCAAGAATCATGAATTATAAAAATTCAGATAAGAACTCAGCAGCATCTCCAATTTCATCTAAAGTGGCTGATGTTTGCTTACTAACAAACTTTACAGTAAGAAATATCTGAGACATTGAAGTTGTTGGAACAGAAAATATCTGGTGTCCATGTAACACTTGATACCATCTGTTAACTGATAAAAGTGGAAGTCTAACGTGTGTCCCTCAACTGGA